ACCATTTGCCAGGCATTGCTAAGCATGGAGTCCAGAGAAATGCCAAAGAGAGAAAAGTCAACAAGTCTTGAGGTGGATTAGATATGTTGTGGGAGGCAGAAAAGTATGGCTCTCAAAATTCCAAATCATAATCTTTTCTAAAAGAAGTAAATTTAGGGATTGAAATAATTAATAGAATGTAGTGTGTGAGCTAGATACCTCAAAATTTCAGACATGTGAAATAATCTAAAAGAGCTCATGATGAAGGGATATCCAATGTTTCATTTGAGAAAGCAAAATACCTAGAATGCAAAGTAGAATTTCAAAGATCTTCCGGGAAAAGATGTTTTATGAGTATAAGTATGTCTATATATGCATATATGCATGTAAATGTGGAAATAGGGTTAGATATGGTACATTGACTGAAATTTGGAGAAAATTTAAAGGTAGCAGTAAATGGGAAGGAGAAGAAAATTAAAAACACATCTTTTATCAAAGTTCCCTTCAAGCTACTTATGAGTTTCAGAATTACAAACTGAAGATAAAGATACACAAAGTATATTTTGAACTTCACAATGTATGCTTCTGGGATCTGTGATTTCACCATTGTGACCCTTCATTAATGCTGTTTACCTCCATTTAACATGGTGTATATCTTGTACATGTATATATCTTCTACATGCATAGTTATTTGCATGTTGTTTATCCCATGAGGTAACACTTGAGGGTTTTTGTTGGCCAGTTGTGTTTGACTCTTTGGGACCCTATATTGGGTTTTTTTGGCAGAAATACTGGAGTGGTTTGCCGTTTCCTTCTCCAGTAGGTTGAGGCAAACAGAGGTTAAGTGGCTCGCCCAGGGTCACATAGCTAGTGAGTGTCTGAGGCCATATTTGAATTGAGGTCCTCCCGACTCCAGGCCCAGCATTCTATACACTGGGCCACCTAGCTGCCTCTTGAGGATAGGCATTTTCATCTTTCTATCTCTAGCACAATGCCTGGCATGTAGTTAGTGCATAAATACTTGTTGATTGACTATTACCTATCTATGCCCTTTTCGGAGGGAGGAATGAGAGGGGTTTGCTTCTGTGATTTCATTGATACAAGGAACTTTCAGCAAAGATTTTCCCAACCTAGATCAACAACTGCTCTGCAGCTTAAGAGTGTGGCCTGGAATGAGAGGTTGGCCCAGGGTGACACAACTAATACGTGTCAGAAACAGTCCTTGAACTCAGGCCTTCCTGACTCAGAGACTGTTTCTCCACTCCTCCATGTTTTCATAAGTGATTTTTGTAAGCTGATATGGTACCCTAAATTCATTACCAAGTAATTGACATTCTACTGCGGAGCCCCTCTAAATTTACCTGGATTATTCCTTCTATGAGAGACATACAATCTGTTGTAGACCCACAGCCAAAGTCTTCTCAATGTGGGGGTCTTCGCTAGAGTCCATTCTTCACTGTCAGAACTTCTGAGGGCCAAGGTGGCCTTCTTGCTAGGACGATGAATAAGAAAGGCCTCCATCTAGGAAAGCACCTTGACTCATTTACTTGTAAAACTGATGGGACTGGCAAGGCCAGCACAGGCAAAAGGGTGGTGCTTCCTGAGCCCATGTTTGGTAGTACAGGGCTACATGAAGGCTTCCAGGAGGCTCATTAGTAGGTCACTCTTTATTTAGGATCTTTCATATTGCCAGAGGAAGGAAGAAATAGATAACCAGTTCATGAACTTAATAATTACTGGCTTAGATGGTACTGAAAATTCCAGCATTAACAGAAACAAAGAAGAGACGTAGAAATGTGAGGGGAAATAAAGAAAATTACTGAAATTGCAACATGCCTGTCATATTTCCAAATTCAGAAGAGCACTGGTTATGTTGTTTTGGACTTTGTAAAAATATCATTGATGACTTGAATGAGTGTGAGTGTGAGAATGTGGCAACAGAATGAGCAGGGCACATCAGGTAAAGTTTTGGGGGGCAATGTGGCATTGTGGTTAGAGAGCTAGCCTTGAAATCATCAAGTCCTGGGTTCAAGACCTGCCTCTGACATGTGCTGTGTGACCCTAGACAAATTCCCTAACCTCTCAGTGCCCTGGGTAAGCGTCTAAGGCTTGAAGCTGTAGGACATTAAGCTGTAGGAATTTCTCTAGAGCAATGAAAGCATAGGTTGGAACCATATAACTTGAGAAACATCATAAATACAGGTGAAAACTATTCACAACAGACATTAGACAAACAGGTAAAAACTGGAAAAGAGAATTGCTATAAAGATCTACTAAGGAGGAGAGCAGTGCTACTCCAGAGTGGTCAGACTTTCTGGGGCTGTGAGCTGCTCATGAAAAGATAATGAAAGTACCCTGGCAAACTACTCTGGGGATCTCACCTTCAAATCCTATTACTGAGAAAAAAAGTCAATTGTCTAAGGAGACCCAGAAAAGGAATGGGTAGATGGATGTGAGAGACCCACCACTAAAGGGTATATAGAATGAAGAGAGGGGATAGTGGGAAAAATAATGGAGTTATTAAACTAACAAGAGAGGAAGAGATTATTTGAATGGAATATTGAGGTTTGTTTTTTTTTTTAACAGCTAGAATGAGCAAATAGTAAGAGATACTTGTTAAGGACTAACCAGTAAGCCAAAGTGTGGATCTGGTTTTCCAGCTAGCTGTGTATTTTTTTTTTCCATCTATAATTCTTAGAATTTTTTTCAACCTGTTTGCTTACCAGTGTAAGTTGCAAATTAGCCCGAGAGGCCCAAGTAGGGAGCAGGTGATCAAGAATGTCAATGGACCATCTCTAATGACAGCAGGTCATAAATGTCTCATGGATTCAGAAAACTATTGGATCTTATGTACTTGAGAACAGTGATTGAGAGTTCATAGATTCCTGTGAAATGAAGTCAGATACCACCAAGAAGCACCTTACACTAGCTTCCATTTGGTTATTTAAGCAAGCCTCAACTTTAAAGATTACCCACCACCCACCCAAATTCATTGCTTAGTTAATTGTTTAGAATTCAAGATGCATTTTCCCGTAAAACAGTGCAGATGAAATCACAATTAAGTTATTCAATTTAACTTAATCCAGGGCCTAGCCCAAAGGTATACTGTCTAGATCATCTTAGAAACCTAACCATTACTTATAACAATGCTTCAATGGGCAAAATTAGCTGTGGCACTTGGCAAGAAGGGAAGCTGGTAGTCCTAGGAAAATGTCTCCCTCTCTGCCTACCATGATATCTGGGGTAGCCACCCAACCTAGAACAAGAAGGAGGAAGGGTGGCATAAATGCTATTATGTGTGGGATGTTTCAAAGTCCAGTGGTCAGCTGTCAGAGTAGAACTGCCCTAGGATGCCAAGTATGCAAAATATTAATTTACTTATTTATTCTACATTTATTAAGTGCCTACTGTGTGAAAGGCACTAGGAATACAAAAATGCAAAATGACATAGTCCCTGCCCTCAAGGAGCTTACATTCTAATAGTGGGATAATATATGTACACAATTCTGATACAAGTTAGAACGAGATATGTGCATAGGAGAAACCAAACACAGAAAGATAAGAGAAATGGGCAAAAAAAAAAAAGGATCACTACTAGTCAGGGGATCAGGTAAGGCTTCATGGAGTACATGGCAACTAAAGGGGCCCTTGAAGAAAGGGAAGGATTTTAAAAGGTAGAGATGTGAAAGAAGTTCATTTAATTAGTTGTAAAGGGTCAAGATACTCCTAACCCAGTATACCTTTTAATTCACTTATTATAAATCACTACAGTACATATTGTTGTATAGCAACTCATTCTCTGAGAAAAAACCAAAAACTATAAGCTAGGTTTTATTTTTGTTTGCTGACACCAATCCTATAAGGTTCTGTTTTACTCCTCTAACTACAGAAACAAGGATAGCAAATTTCTTTTCAAAGATGACATGTAAATATACAATCCAAGCCTAGAACGGTTTTGTGCACTGTTGCATGTATGAAAGGAGACAAGATGCCTGATTGGCAGATAGAATGCTGAACCTTACCTGTATAAGGGACTGATTGAATTGGTTCCACACACTCTTTGGGAGAGACACATGGATAGGGGATATGCCAAGGAGGCCGAGGAGACAGAAAAAGACTTTGAAATGGTGGCTATTGGTAGGAATCCAGTCCCTTTATTTTCTTGAATTGGCTTGAAATTCTAGAGACTGATGAGAATGGACCTCCTCTGGGTGAGATAGTTCTCTCTCTCTTAGTTTGAGCTGAGATCTTATCTCACACCTCAGTGGAAGAACTAATTTATTCTTGTGTATTTTTTTTGATATATTCTAATTTGTTCATCTTTTCTGATTTGCTTGGATAAATGGGGTTTATTCAATAACCATTCTCTGTAATGGCATTTTATATTACTAATAAGAGAATCAGAGGCCTAGAGAGATTAATTAACATGTCCAAGGTCGCATAGTTAGTATGGGGTTAGGATTAGAATCTAAGCCTTTTTATCCTGGTTCCTTCAGGAAGAAGAAGAGAGCATCTGATATTCTAGTATATACATTGACAGCAACTTCACAACTTAACCAAAAGAAGTCAATCCCAAATCTGTGGTGCAAAGAACGGAGTCAGTTTTGATAAATACACTTACCACCAGAAAAAGAAAAAAGAATCCTAGTTTACCATACTGATGTACACAGTGATATACAGTGACCCTAAATGAAAGTCCTTAGTAAAATAAGCAGGTGTCATTGACATATGACTGATAGGGCATCTTGGGCCAATCCATATTTTCATTGACTCCCAGAAGAAAATTATAATGCAACTTCTCTTGAAATAGCTCCCGGTTTACCTTTCTCCCAATTCCCTCTTCCTTAAGCCAGACACCTCCCCATCCCACAACTCTGCAATTCCCCTTAACTTCTTAAATCCAAATGACTTTGTGTAGTCCTGAGCTCAAGCTATATCAACCCTTTAGCAGAAAAGAAGCCAAGGGGTAGGAGCTTAGGATACAAAGACAGCGAACCAAGGGAGGGAAAGGTGCTCATTACCTCAATGGACCCTGGTTCAGCTTTGATCATTTCTCCCATGTTGCTGTCATTATTAAGACTTGGGGGGCTATAGGCAGCCTGTCTCCTCTCTTCCTTTAAGGCATGCTCCCAGAGTTTCTTGTTCAGGATCCTGGCAGTATTTTCAGTCAGTGTGTGGCCGGGAGGAGCCGATAAGTCCTGTCTCACAGGTGTACCTTCCCCACCTTCTTCTCTGGATGTCTCGGTGCCAGCCCCGCTGGGGCTAGGTGACCTTCCCCTGGAACTTGTGCCCGTTTCCTGACCTGGGCCCAGATCCGGGCGGGGTTCAGCTGAGCGAGATCGGCTGCCAGCTCGGATTCCCTTCTGGAGGGGATCATGTACCACCGGAGTGTGATCAATAATGTTGAACAGGCTGGAGAGTCCATCATTGATGGTCGTATGCACGGGGCTCTCCCTTGTGGTGGTTGAGCGGGCCCAGGCGGATTCACTATAGCCCTTTTGGGGTGTCCCTGGCAGGGTCCTGTTATTTGGCTGGTCAGCTTTGGGGAGACTCTTCCTCTGTAGCTTAGGCGAACCATACTTGGGGGAGCAGCATGTGCGTTCGAATTTGGCCTGCACCTTCTCAATGGCAGGGGCTACCTGCCGGCTCCGGAGGTTCCTGGAGGGGGAGGACACGGGAGTGGTGCCACCCCCTGCCTTTGGTGTGAGACACTTGTGGGGACTGCTGGTGATGCTTCCACCACGCAGGGTTTCAGTCTGTAGGCCAACATTCATGGTCTGGGTGGTCTGTGTCCCTTTTGTCTTGCATCCGTTGGTCTGACAGGCCATATCCTTGAGCTGGGGCTTCGCGGGGCTACAGTGGATAGCATTCCTGACAGAAAAGGCAACCTCTTTCATGTCGTCACTCATGTTCTTGGACATCTCAAGGCTATGCAGGGAGGAGGAGGAAAAACCCGTGGCAGTGCAAACAGGGCCTTCCATGGAGTGGAATCCACCCTCCAAGTTGTCTCTGTGGTGCCCTGGGTGTTCACAGGGCCACCTGCCAAATGCATGCTCATGGGGGGTGCCTTTTGCCTCCCCCATGCTCCCTTTGGCTTTGTTCACAGAGAGCAACAAGTCAGGGTCTGCCTGGCTCTTCTCCTCACTGCCTGCCATCACTGAACTATCAAACCTCCGGACTGCTGGTGGGCTATGAAACACACGCACCCCCATTTTGTCGGCAATGACGTGGCTCTTCAAAGGCTGCTTCTGGCAGTGCTCTGGGCTGGTCGTGGTGTTGGTGGTCATGGTGACACTTGTGGTAAGGTACCACGATGACCCGGGGACATCGTTCCCTGACCTCCCCCCCTCGGTCCTTTCCGCCCAGGAATCTGGTGGCTTCTCGGCCAACCCATTCCTGTGGCTCTGGGGTGGAGTATAGTCCCAGTTCTTGTTAAATTCCTCAATGTACTTCAGGTCATCAGGGGACAAGGGAGGAGTGATGTCCTCCTTGTGGTTGGCAGAAGGCATGGCCTTTTCTGGCAGGAAGGGAGAAATGTCCATCAGGCGCTGGAACTCAGACATGGAGGACACTGAAACTGCCCTGAGAAAAGCAGAAAAGAAGAGATCATAAACCCGCCACACATCCTGCTAGATACAGTTCTGGCACGGTGAAAGGAAACCGGACCCTTGTCATTCTCTGTGCTCCCCCTTTGTAGATGGAACTCCCCTTTCCTAAAGAGCACTCTTAATGCTTGTGGCACACTTCCTTGTTTGATGGTGCATTTCAGGCATCAGCTGATCCCCAGGGTGTTTTCAGGGACCCTGGTATAATTCTAGAAATGTTCAGGTGGCTTTGCGTTAGTCAGAACTTAACACAACCGACTCTCCCCTGTGACAAAAGGCAAGATTGCATGGAATATTTTGATTCATAAATAATATCCCTGAATCTCATTTCAGTCGTCCATTTCAACTTCCCCACTGAGCTCTGTACTTCTCTTATCTATTGGCTCCTAGCCACTCTCTGGTGGAGTTCTCAACAAGCCATGAAAGTCCCCCAAACTAGACAGCAAAAAGAAAAATGACAAGTAGAGGCTACTCTACCTGGTTAATAATCTACAAATATTTCTCCTACAAAAATCTATGTATTCCTGCCCACATTGACTCACAGCCCAAAGGGCCTTCTTCTGGCCATGCCCACTGTGTACTATGGCTGCCCAATTCACTAGATGAAAAGAACACATTGGTGGCAAACATACAGAGCATTCTGCCTTTCTTCTCCCTGCCCTCCCCCAACATAGATTATTCTGAAAGCACACACACGGACACATAAAAGATAAGGAAAGAAAGTCAGAGCCTGCTTAAGCCTACCCAATTTCTCTTAGGCTTCTTCTGCCAGATATGTTTAAGGTTTCTTGATATGTGATACCTTAGTGCTTTCCCTGGGGTAAATTGCCTGTCATTGTATGGAACAGAAGTAGGCAATTAATGGCTATGGTGCCTGCCACTCCAGTGACTCTGTGAGAGCTCCAGCAGCCCCCGGGGCTTTCTCCCCTACATATACCTTCAGGCTAGTCCAAGATGCTTGCAGTCTTGTGTATCTGTGGGAAAGGGTGATGATTGGCTTTGGAGTCTACCTTAGTTGCAAGAGGAGTTTCTTTATCTCTAAAATGAATGGGTTGAACTGAATGATCTTAAGTGCCTTCTAATTCTAATTTTCCCGGAGTCTACAATTCCCTGGATTCTAAGGCTTCAGGAACATTCCTTAACAGCTAATCAGAGACTTAAATACCCCTGGGTAAATCTCTAATCTGGAACTCATCTTCCTAGGGGAAATGGAACCTCAGAGAGCTCATCTACCTAAAATTCTTCCTCAATGGGAATGATTGACCATGGCTGGTTTGGACCAGTTATCTTGTCATGGTCTTTTATGTCTTTCCTCTATAATTGTGAAACTTTTACTCTCAGATTCAGTACATGAGGGCAGCCAGCTAACTCAGGTCCTACTAACACTATTTCTCCTCTGAGTTTTTTCTCTGAGGAAAAGTGAAAAGGATGAAATGACCCTCCCTCCTGGGTACAATTTTATCATTCCAATCTAGATATGATGGTTAGTGTTGAATGATAGCTAATAAGCACTTGGAGTAATTGATCGCTACTAGTAATCAGTGCTTAAAATAAGAGAAAAAAGGGAAATGGTATGGCTTTATTGACAGGTATAGTCCTTTTAGGCAAGTGCGCTGAAAGTTATGAGGAAGGAGGAGGAGGCTGAAACCTTGTCCTCTATTCTTCCTGACTCACCTCTACCTCCACTCCCCAAATAGGTTCAGTACCACATGAGTTACTAGAATCCTTTGTCTTCTAAGGAGTTAAAAATGGTCTTACAGAGGTTTAGTCAAGTCTCAGTCCTTCCCATGTTTCTTTGAGGTGAGTTAACAAGTACAACCAGCTAAAACACTAATCAATCAGTTAAGTTCCTACTCTCAGAGTTGACAGTGGCACAGACTAGCATAGAATCATGATGGAGGGTGGTGGTACTGGCAAGTATTAGAGCATGGATAGATATTGAGGACAGAGGGTAGGGTGAGAAGGGAGAGGTAGAAGCTCTAAGGGGCAAAAATTGTAATCTTTTCTCCCATGAAAGAAAACAGGAAAGGTTAAAGGCGGGAATTAACTCCCATTTAAGCGCCGAGGGTTGAGACTGCAGTGAGGATGCAAAGGAAGTAAACTAGGAGGGAAGTGCAGATTTGAGAGAGAATGCAAGGTCAGCAGCTGATGAAATGTAGTTTAAAGAGGTCCAGGGGCTACAATCCATTGACCTCCAAGGTCCCTTTCAACCTTATAAGTCTGTGACTCTGAGAGTAGGGGAAGAAGTGAGGTAACAATAATTGACAAGTCAAATTTCACAGGAGAATCCATGATGAAGGTAGCTAGAAATGTCAACATGACCTGACAAAGGCTTTCATGTAGTACAAAAGCATCTACTTTTATAGAATGAAAGAAAGGGTAGGAAGAAAGGTAGAGAGGGACTAGATAAAAAGAGAATGGGGGAGAAAAACATAGTATGCAGAAGAGGAAAGATTCTCAAGTTACTTCATCACCTCACAGGCTTAGAGCTGGAAGGGACCTTAGAGATGAAGTCTCACCCTCTCATTTGGCAAATGAGGAAAATGAAAGCCAAAGAGGCTGGCTCATTTGCCCAAGGTCAAAGAAGCGATAAGATGCAAAGCCAGGATCTGAACCCAGGTCCTCTTCCTCTGATTTAAGGGAAAATAAATCCAGTGCTCATTCCAATGTACCATGGCCACTATTTCCTTTATGATTTCCTCAAGAAAGATGACCATTAATTCTTAAAATAAAAACTTTTCGTACAAGTTTTTAACTGGATGAAACATCTTGCAGCAGACAGTTCCTTACACTTGCTTTATATTGAGAAGGGACACACTATCGTGAATTTAACTTTCAAGTAATCATTTAACGAGACTCCTATTTGTATTAGACATATAAAATTATAACACAGTTTAGGTAAATATCAAACCAAAGGCCAACTCTTGATGTAACCATGTTTAATCTTTCAGTTATTTGTGATCAATGACATCATATTAATGAAACATGATAAAACCTGATCACATTTGGTTTTTTTTTTCATAATCACGAAAAAGGGGACTAGGCTGCTACAAAAGGGGTGAATTACATGAATCACTAAGAAATTCAGTTCAGGCCTACTTTAGCTAATGTGATTTGCATTCACCTTACCTTTGAAGATTTCCTTTGTAGTTATCTTCTTCCTGTAAGAAAAACAAAACAAAACAAAACAAAACAGATAAATCTGATTTTGGCTGCTTCAGTCTGTGGCTTCTATCAAGAGAAAACCACTGATTAAAAAATACTTTCAACAAAGTAGAGAGAAGGGAGGTGGGGGGCAGGGAAGAGCTACAGGTGTGGAATGTTGAATGCATTTTCAGAAAAGGTCCCTTGTACTGTTAGTCTTTGTTAGTTTGCTATAGTAAGTATTTGTTAGTGAATTGTTTTGTTTTGTTACAAGAGAGCTCTCACAGGGTAAGGATAATCTAAAAATGTATTGAAAAATAAAATGCCAATAACTTTATTTTAAAAAATGAAAATACACCGTATAGAGAGGTACATGGCAGGTAAAGGGGGATGGGACAAACGTCAGGAGGAAGTGCTGGTCAGAGAAATGCAGAGAAACACTGTGATAAAGACGCCACAGACTCTAAGAGGAGTACTGATGTAGCAAGAATGGAGATAACAGGATAAGGAAATAGGGAAGCTGCCTGGAACTTCTGTCACAGGGAAGGTTAGTCCTTCCATGCTCCTTTAAAGGGGCCTAATAATAATACCATGTATCAATAATATTGGCATTTTACAGTTTTCAAAGAGGCAGCTAGACAGTGCAGTGAATAGAGTGCTCGGCCTGGAGTCAGGAAAACCTGAGTTCAAATCCAGCTTCAGATACTTACTAGCTACATGATCTTTGGCAAGTCACTTAACCTAGGTCAGCCTCAGTTTCCTCAATCATAAAATGGAAACAATAATAGCATCTATCTCCCATGGTTTTTGTGAGGATAAAGGAGATAGTATTTGTAAAGATCAATGCAAATGCTAGCTATTATTATCTCTGACTCACTTTCCTTTTCTGTAAAACATGGAAAGTAAAACCTATAGTACTTATACAAGATTGTTGTGAGGTTAAAATAAGATAATGTAATTTCAGCATTTTGTAAACTCTAAAGCACCATATGAAGATCATTGGTTATTATTATTAGCCACACTCTCTCTAAACTTTGGTTTTAACTGAAATTTCTTCTCAAGGCTGTCTTTAGAATCCCAAGCTTCATTCAGGGTCTAGCTCAAAGTGCCACCTCCTACATAAGACTTCTGATTTCCTCCAATTATTGGTACCCTCTTCCTCATATTACCTTTTATTTACTTTGCCTACATATTCTATTTACTTCTGTGTTTCCTCCACTGCAATGTAAACTGGAACTGTCTTTATTTTTTTGTATATCTAGTGTCCAACACAGCATCTGGTATAGAGTAGGCATTGAATAAATGCTTGTTGATTGAATTAATTCATTAATTCATTTTCCTCCTGGGAGAGTTGCCATTAGCTCAGAAGTACAACGAAGCACAGGCCCCTTGACTTTCATAGCAGAGGTGGTGCTAAAACACAAATCTCTTAAATCCCTTTCTAGATCTCTTTTCACTAAATTACCCTATGATCCCCATCTGTAATCTCAGCGAAGTGGACACTTCCTCCAGTGGTGAAGATTAACAACACACCTTCGAGTATCCCTGTGGGGCCTCGATCAAGTCCTCCACAAGGTAGGGGAGAAGGGTGTATCCTATACATTGAGGACTTTTCCCTAGATCTCTGGGCTATATGGCTGGCTATCCACAGGCCTTGATCTCCTACACTGCTGATTAGGCATTGAATTATTCCTCCAACCCACCATTTCCCTACATTCCAACAAAGGAACTCTTTGACATTTACTCGATGGGTTCCATTAAATGTGTGGGAGGCTGCCTGACAGATGAAACAGCTGTTATAATGGTTCCTTAGTAACAATTCCTTTAATACATCCTTTAAACTCAATGTCGCAACTGCTTGAGTGAAAGGTGTAACTAGGAGAACACAAGTACTACAATGTTAAGAACATTTCAGGATATAGTGAGACTCAATCTATTTGGCCCAAGTATTATAACTCCTAAATTCAAAAAGCTTCATTCTTTCCTCTCTTCCCATAAAACATCTATGACAACCAAGGCACACTGGCACCATTCTGTCCCCAAAGGATAAATATAGGATTTAATTCAAACATCTACTTTAGTTTTCTGGGGGTTGAATCCTTTCTTACTTACATAATGCAACAATTTTTAAAATGCGTTATTATCTAGTGACATTTTCAAATTCTCTGTATGAAGACTTTTTAAAAGCATTTTTCCCTTTCAGTTATTAGATTTCTAGAATAAGAATGTTTTTCTGTGATTTAAAGAACATGGATTTTCTAGCTTTTTTTCCTTCCTCTTCTGAAATTTCCTGAGCATATTCATATTTGGAAACAACTCAAATTTGATTCAACATTTATTAAGTACCTACTATGTGCCTCCATTTATTGTGGGTGAGGAGGATACAACAAGTATACACATAAGTAGAGCTGAAGGAAAATTGAGAACATTACTCAAGAGGAGGACCTTAGATGGCTTAATGGAGATAAAAGCACTTGAGCTGAGACTTAGGGGAAGGCAAGCATTCTGAGATTTGGAGGCGAAATGGAAATGTATTGAAGGCATGAGAGGGATGGTTAATGTACATAAAGACCACAGATGGGTGACAGGGCTCAGGGAACAATTCAATTAGTAGTCTGGTTGACTGAATCACAGAGTATACAGGATGGTAATATGAAATAAGGCAATATGGAACATGAGAAGGTGGGATCCAGATTTTGAATGCGGTAAATGCCAACCTCAGGAGTTCTCATTTTATTCTATAGTGCAATGTGAAACCACTGAAGGCTTTTAAGGAAGGGACTGACAAGGTCAGACCTGTACATTGGGAAGATTCTTTTGGCAGCTATGTGAAGGGATAGTGGATTGGTGAGGGGGACACCGGAAATAGGGAAACCAATTAGAAAGATATTTTAGTGGTCCAAATGACTCCACTATTGTGGAGTTAGGAAAAGAAGGGGACAGACATGACATATGAAGCAACTGTTTGGGAGGGGATGGAGAAAGAGATGAACTCTGGTGATTCTTGGTGACCAGGGAAGCTTTTGGAATATTCTTAATTCTAAGTAACAGGTCTAGCTACTTGTAAATCTAACAGTCAAAACAGGATCTCATTACCATTCCCACTTTCACTTTTTATTTTCAATCTCTCCTTATTCCTTCCCACACTGCCCATGAACAAGCCCATGTCTCCTTTGTCCTTAAAAAACCTTTGTTAGCTGTGTGACCCTGGGCAAGTCACTTAACCCCATTGCCTCACCAAAAAGCAAAACAAACAAACAAACAACAACAACAACAAAAACCCAAACCCTTTGCTCGACCCTACTACCTCCACTAGGTATCATTCTAAATCTCTCCTCCCCTTCTTGGATAAACTCTTTAAGAAAGTGATCTACACTTGGTGCCTCCATTTGCTATACCCTTTCTTAAAGTACCTACAATCTGACTTCTGACCATTCAACTGAAATTTCTGACTCCAAAGTTACCAGACCTAATGGCCATTTCTCAATCCTCATCCTTTCTGACCCCTCAGAAAGGAAGAAAACAAGCATTTATTAAGTGCTTACTGTATGCCAGGCTCTGTGCTAAACACTGGGAAGACAAATACAAGCCAAAAGAAAATCAGATGCTGCCCTCCAAGAGCTTACACTCAAGTGGGAAAGGACAACACATAAAAGGAAACATAGAAAGGCGGGGGGGGTATGTCAACCTCATTTTATCCAAAGAGAACCTTTTCTCTCAAACCCTCCCTCCTTTTGACCTGCGCTATTACCATCCAGGGCACCACTAACCTTCCCCCTCACCCCCTGCCCCATTACTCAGGCTCACAACCTTGGTTACGTCCATGACTTCTTACTTTACTTACTTTACTCTCAACATTTCGTCTTTTACACCATCTCTAGTTACATCTTCTTTCTAATCGCTCAGCTACCAACCCAATTCAGGTCCTTATTATCTCTCACCTAGAGTTTTAATTGTTCTGCTTGTCTTGTTTCTGAGGCAGCCCATTTAGTTTTGGTTCAGCTTTCATTGCTAATGGTTTTTCCTTTAAAATTTGGAGTTCAAGGGGGTATTGGGGATCATGTAATTCAACTGTCTTAATTGACATATGAGGAAAATGAAGCCTAAAGAGGCTAATTAGATTAATCTCATCTTCCATATAAGATTGTGAGCTTTTTTTTTTCTTTTTTTTTTTTTTGAGGCAATTTGGGCTAAGTGACTTGCCCAGCTTCACACAGCTAGTAATTGCCAAAGGCCAGATTTGAACTCAGGTCCTCCAGACTCCGGGGCCAGTGTACTATCCACTGCACCACCTAGCTGTCCCTGCTTTTCTTTGCAATTCTCAGCACTCCCAAGGTCACAGAGTAATTGTGTCTTACATTTAAATAGCCCTTTAAAGTTCGCAAAGTGCTTTACATATAATCTTATTTAAGTACAACTGTGTGAAATAGATATTATTATTCTTATTTTGCAGATGAGGAAATGGAGGCTAAGAAAGTGTAAACGACTTGCCTAGAGTCATATAGCTAGTAATATCTGAGGTAGGATTTGAACTCAGATTTTCCTGACCCTGCATCCAGTATTTTATTCACTATAGCACTTACGTGCCTCACTAGCACATTAATTGCAGACCCAAGTCTCTCTACTCTCAGTGTAGCACACTTTCTTTTACACAATGTGGTCTCATATGGATGGATAGAATGTTTTTTTTTTTTGTTCTCCAATCAGAGATCTGCATTAGGGTCCAGGTTATTTGAACATATCTATCTGGACTTTTAAATATCTAGACATCTTGTGTATGTAGCGAAGATTAGAACCAGTACCAGTGACAATATGGCATCCATTCTCATAAGAGACTTCACCTTTCATAGAAAGTAAACTGGGTCTATCTGGGAGAAACTAAATAGTGGTGACATTGGTATGGACAACAACATGGCCAGGAGTGATGATATGGAAATGTAACCACCTATTCCCCTGCCCCATTATCCTTTTTCTTTCATTTATCTTTTACCTTGACATTTTCTGCTATGGGAAAGGACCATGTTCCATTATTGCTTAATTATAGTTACTTCATTAGAGAGGAATTAAAAAATAGAGAGAATATAAGGATTACTTCATGCAGGCAAGTGATAAACTTCTCTCGTGCCCCTTTCCGTGGCTGAGGGTCGTTGGGCTCGTCGTCCAAGGCCAGTGCATCCAAGAAGATGTTCTCTGTGGCAGAGCATCGGTCTGTCTGCTTCAACTTCGACAGCGTCTGGTCTTCAAACTGCATCGGGTCTGGATCGGAGTAAGACCAGCTTCCCATTGAACGAGGCATGTGATGACTCCCTTGGTTGGAAAATACACGGATGCTGACTTCTTTCGAGTCCCTAAAGAAACTGTCATTTCCAAAGAAGCTCATTCCATTCTGTAGCTTAAAATGTAAAGAAGAGAAAGTCAGTACAGATTGTCCATCAGCTGCCTTTGTCTCTTTCTCACAACTGAATTTTATTTGAACTGATCCCGTAGAATGTTAGGACACTATAATAGTCTTTCTTTCCCCCTCTCTCCTACCCATTCTCCACTCCACCCCTCCCCCACTGTGTGCCAAACTTATATTCATTTTTAAAATTCATCTGGTGCACATCCAGAGGAAAGGACTAACTGTCTGAATATAGATCGAAGCATACTGTTTTCACATTTTTTTTGTAGTTTTTTTCCCTTTTGTCCTGTTTCTTCTTTTACAACATGACTAATAAGGAAACATGTTTTACATGATTGCACATATATAACCTATATCAAAATTGCTTACTGTCTTAGAGAGGAAGGAGAAAATTTGGAACTTAAATTTTATTTAAAAAATGAATGCTAAAAATTGTCTTTACATGTAATTGGAAAAAATAAAATAAAATGCTATTTAAAATAAAAAAATAGAAAAGACACAGGGAAAAAATAAAATTCATCTGGTCCCAACAATTTAATTTGGATTTTAGTATCTATAGTTATACCTTCATTTAAGAGGCCTCTCTATTTCTTTCTTTTTTTTTGCCTCTTTGTCAATAGGTTTTGAGAACAGGAATATCTGAGAACACAAATAACTCAGGAGTCACCTTGTATTAATGCCCAAGGAACAAAACCAAAAGATTTTTAAAAGGAAAATTAGGGTGATTGTCAACTCTTTGTTATTGATGCTAAAGACAGATAATAGAGGTACTGGAAGTTTAAAAAATCATTTATACCAGATAAGGTTTGGAATACGTCTATTTATTTTCCCTAATTATGTTTACTTGAAATAAATGCTGGCATAGTGGATAGAAAAGTCTCTGCCTTGGTCTCTCAAAAGATCTGGGTTCAAGTGTTGACACACATACTGTGTGAACCTGGGCAAGTTAAAGCACCCTGCATACTCTCAGATTCAACGTTGCTAAGAAGGTGCTGTAAGTTCGGTATAAGAAGAAAATCAATGCTAAAAATAATTTGCCTTTCCCAAGCACCTGCTTGGGATAGTCAGGGGAGATAGGGAAAGGGTGGGAAGCAGCTACACTCACATGAAAATTCTGTCCCAAGGTAGATAATAGAGACCTGATGATCCCAGGAAGGACTATTAAGTGAGGACATTGCTTGAAAAGGCAACAGCCTAAATTTATCAGAACTCAGACATCCAAATGAGTGCAAAAGGGTCACCTACTTATTCTAATGATGCTACCACCATTTTTGGAACTTCTCTTTTGGAACTGCCTGAGGGCCAGTGAGGCACAAAAGAAGAACCTCGGCCTCAATACCTAGAGAAAGTCATACCTTGATTTTGGCCCAAGATGGGTCATCCACCTTTTTCACTAGATTTGGCCCTGTGTGATTTTTGGGTATTTCAAAAAACCAAGTGCACCTTCAAAGGATGAAGTCTCCCATCCTAAGGATATTTGAAAGAATGTAACACAGCTTCTGAAGGCAATACTCAAAGCAAAGTTCCACAAGATTTTGAATGGAAGCCTCACTGAAATAATTTTTTTGTACAAAGTTTCAGAAAGAAATCTGGATGTGGAGTCAGAGGGCCTAGCTCTGCCACTTACACCTTGTGTGACCCTGGGCAAATTACTGTAAACTGAGGGGACTGGACTTGATGACACTGAAGGTCCTTTCTATTTTAAAATCTATGTTCTTGTGACTCTGTGATATTGACTGTTGTGAAGGGGATGTGACTCATTCGGATGTATACATTTTGGTGTGCTGGTCCAAATAGTTGTCTCCTGATTTTACAGTCACACCGGACATAGACGACCTGATTCCTCATTTGTCATTACATTTCTTTTAAGCACTCCTTTTTTTTTTTTTTTAGGCAATTGGGGTTAAGTGACTTGCCCAAGGTCACAGCAGCTAATAAGTATCAAGTGTTTGGTCTGAGGCCGCATTTGAACTCAGGTCCTCCTGACTTCAGGTCTGGTGGTCTATCCACTGCGCTGCCTAGCTGCCCCTTAAGCACTCTTTCAGTCATATATTTAGAGCTAGAAAACTTAACTAATACAATGTCCTCACTTCATAGATGCAAAAGCTAAAGACCAGAGGTGTGAAGTGATTTGCCCAAAAATACACATTTTGTTGTTTAGTTGTTTCAGTTGTGTCCGATTTTCCTATTTGAGGTTGTCTTGGCAAAGACACTGGAGAGTGGTTTGCCATTTCCTTCTCCAGCTCATTTTACAGATGAGGAAACTGAGGCAAACAGAGTTAAGTGACTTGCCCAGGGTCACACAACTACTCAGTGTCTGAGACCAGATTTGTACTCCAGGCCTGGCACTCTATCCACTGCACCACCTAGCTGGCCTAAATATACATTTAGCAAATGGCAGAGCTGGGATTTGAACCCATGTCTTTTTCATTCTAATCTATCCCATTTTACCACACCATGCTTATTGCTAATCAGGCCCACTTTTGGCTTTGAGCATGTGGTCAAGTACTATTTCTATGGCTGCCCTCTACCATTTATTGCTTTGGCCCATGCAGACATTGAGAGGCTCAAGCAAGGGAAATAGGCTAGTGTCAAACAATAAGGAACTGTAAAAATAAGTGGGGAACTTGCTCCTAATGAAGCTTTGTTCCATTTAAAAAACTTTATAATGTTTGCTGACATTTTAATTTTGTAATTTTTGTTATTATTGCCTTTCTCTATAAATATTTACGCATGAGCAACACTAGACCCAAGGATATTTTTACTTAACTACTTTTAATGAGTCCTTTATTGGCTGATATATTTGATAATTCTGTTGGGTTGACTGCTTTTTTAATAAGCAAAATATTTAAAGGACTAAAGTGACATTTAGACTCAACCCAAAGGCAAAAAGGAATAAAGATTTTCAGTCATCAAATATTGAGATGCTGCCAGAGAATGCTATAAATTTCCTTGGGAGCATATCAAGATATTCAAAAGCATTTTTCACAAATTTAACTCTGTGTCCTAGTGTGCACCTCTCCATCTATTCCTGCTTGTGTGTGAGGATGTCCTATGTAAAGTCGTGCAGCATCAGACAGACTTTGCTGGAGGGTGGGGTGGTGACTATTGAGAAGAAAGCACTTTGTGAAACCTTATGGTATTATTTTTTGTTCCAGATCTCAGACAGAGCAAGGCAGCAAGGCCTTTGATAGAGTATTAGCCTAAGTGTCAAGAAGACTTAGATTCCTGTCTCTGACATAAATTAGCCAACTGACCAGGGCGAGTCACTTTAACTCAGTGCCTCAGACAAGTCTCTCCAAGGCTATAATAAGCTGGAGAACAGGTGCTAATATGCAAAGGGTGAGAGAGTTTCCTATTACCATGAAATCACACAAAGTGCTATTTAAATGTGACTTATCGGTTTTTTGTTTAATCGTTATTAATATTGAAAACAAAGGTTAGAAGTATTACTACTCTTCTTCTCCCCCACCTCCCAATGTTTCCTGGTGCTATTCACTAGCTGTGTAAGTCTGGATAGTCATTTTAACCTTTGTGTGCCTTGGTTTCCCCACCTGCAAAATGAGGTGATTGGATGAACTGGTATGAAAGGTGCCTTTCAGCCATAACAATCTCTGAGTTGTCTCAGCTTATTTGCAAGCACAGTGGCTGTAGGACTAGGCTACTTACTGATCTGACTTTTAGTTCTATTCTTGTCCTCCCTTTTTTTTTCTTTCCCTTCCCTTTCAGTATTATCAATGCAGTGATAATCCTGCTGCCCTTCACCCCATTACAAATTCTCCCTTAAAAATTCAATTCAGGCAGCAGCTAGGTGGCACAATGGATAGAGCTCCAGCCTTGGAGTCAGGAGGACCTGAGCTCAAATCCGGCCTCAGATACTTGACACTTACTACCTGTGTGACCTTGGGCAAGTCACTTAACCCCAATGGCCTTACCAAAAAGCAAAAAAAAAAAATCAACAAAAAAAATTAAATTCAATCCAAAAAGCTAGTTTTGGAGTCAGGAAGACCAGGGTCCAAGTTCTGCCCCCGACACATGCAGGCTGTTTGACCCTGGGCAAGTCCCCTAACTTCTCAGTACCCCAGGCAACTCTCTGAGACTGTAAGTGGTAAAGCAGGCAACTGCTTTCATCAGGAGAGGAAGCAACTCACTTCCAGTACCCTATACAGGTCCAGTAAGAAACCAAACAGGATAATATGGCAGCAATGTGGTAGGAATAGGAAGGACGAGACAGGTGGAAGAGATGATATGGAATTAGGATGGGCAGGTCTTGGTGGCGGATTAGATGCAAGAGGTGTGAAGTCAGAAGTACCAGCAAGAAGACAGATGCTTCTTTACAAACTTTTTTAAACAACAACAAAAACCTTCCCGAAAAAGGCAGAAATTTTTAGATTCGGTGAACACTAATCAATAGGTCACATGAGCATTTTCAAGCTGTCAGGGGGGAAAGCTACAGAGAACACATAGAAGAACTGATGGTATTAAGTGAGAAGGCAGGGGAGGATGATGGAAAGAAAGAGCTGGTAACCTACAACAGCAGCCTGGTAAGCATATCTTGATAGACATGCAAGGCACAATACAAAGTAAGTACTGTTCTGGGTTGGGGAACATCACCTTGGATTGGCACAGGATCTACGAGAGTGGGAGTCAGTTCTGGCCAAGGTCTTGGGTCAATCTTACCCAGAGCTTTTGTAGTCAAGCAGCTCTGTGATTTGAGCTACCAGCCAACTGACCAGCTCATTGAAATCGGTGAAGAGTGCTGGATCTGTGGATTTCTCCTCCTCTGGAAGACCATACGGTGCTACCAGACTCGAATAGCAATTCATAGGATCATAGGATCAGAGATTTAAAGCTGGGAGGATTTTAGAGGCCACGTAATCCAACCACTCCATCTTAAAAATGAAGAAACCCAGACCCAGAGAGGTTAAGGGACTTGCTGAAAGTCATACAGCTGGTAAGCAACTGTCAATTCCATTAAAAAATATAGCATA